AGTAATATAATGACTCTGCAGTGGCCCCCGAACTAAAAGGTGGTGGACAATAATTCGTATTCCAGTATTTGACGATTGGTTCCCTAATCCCCAGATGCCTTTAAAAGAGGGAGTATATAAGGTATTTTCTCCCTCCTTCCTTCGTGGAGTAACGGTAACACAGCCGGCGCATATTCGAGAGGGCCACGTTCGAGCCCCGGCTAGAGCATTGCTAATTTTTCAGTTCTCCTACTTCAAAATAACCTAACGAATCTACACATACAATATAATCATAATACTACAATTAGATTAAGAATATAAAAAAAACTTTTGACAAACGGTTTTCTAGATTTATTAGCCTGAAGGGGCAATCTTCCCAGAAGGGCTATTAATTTCGTTTAGGCATTTTGCACTGGTTCACTATAAAAGTCTGACTCACTTTCCGAATTTTTACCACCAAATACTAGAAACCTGCATTATGTTTAAAGAATTTAAATAATGAAAAATTTGTATGTTTCTCGCACTGTGGAAAAACAACGGTACCTAGTGACACCAAACTTTGAATAACATAGTCCTCGACTCGAATGTGGGCATCTGGAAGCCCAAATTTGAATTTTGAATTTGTTTTATTATCTATTTCATGTTTTGTAAAACTTTAACGAATATTTGATTAACAAACTCAACGATATAAAAGCGTTCCATTAACATTAACATCGCGTGCATTCTCAACCACGAATATCTTATGTGCGAGGTTTTTTTTTTTTTTTTTTTTTTTGTATGTGAGTATGTGTGATATTGCTGTTGAATTGAATTTTATGGTTTAAATGCGAAGAACATGATATTTAATAAATAAAAGTAAAACGCAAAACGTTAAAAAAACGGCCCTTTTAGCGAAATCTGAAAGTTTTCAGATTTTGTTTTGTTTTGCGTGCTTTATCCATTTATTTTTATTACTTTTATACTATTATAAATTTTAAAACGTAAACAAGCTTTCAAAAGCAAAATCACAAATTCTAATTGCACATAATTGTTTGATTTTAATAATGCGGTGGCTGCATTAAATGTATTGATGCAATGTTTTTAATTTATCGCATAAAACTGCTTAACTAAATTTTTAAATCCCTTCGTTTAAAAAAAATCTTGTCTCTTCCTTGTTTTCTGTAACAAAATATTGATTTGGCTATAGCTTTCTTCTACTGGATGAGAAGAAGAAAAGGTCAGTCGTGTTGGTTCTTTAATGCTTTTATTTTGATATATTTCTTTTGGATGATTTTAAAATTCCATAACTTGGCGTACCATTGTATTTTGAATAAGATTTGTACTTGACCATACTCCTCCAATGCAATCAACACTTCTTGAGTCATAACATCAAGATCAGATATAATGCAGTTCAGCGGTTTTATGAGCCATGCTGGCATTTTTCATCGGACTTGTGCATTCATTTCATAACGAACCCGTACGCACGCAACAATATGTTACTGCTTCACGTAAACAACAAAGCAATTCAAAGAAGCAGATATTACGTCTTAACCTCCTCGCATGTTATTCGTTAAATGCTTTCCGTGCTGAGATGTTTCCAGCTATATTTATAGTAGTTCTTCAAATAAAATTATTATTTCGGACAACCTAAACACAACTTTAAATTTTTACAAACACTAAAATATTAACAGTTTAAAAAGTTCTGCTTTAAAATTTAAATAATTATATTCAATAAAACATCAATATAATGCAAGATTGATTTTTCTTTACTCTTGAATTTTCAATTTATTTGCTGATAAAATCCAGGAAACAGTACACTTGCTTAGGTTGAAAGAAAACGAAATCTAGATGGCATCTGCTTAACATTCAGCAACGATTACATGTTTCAGCCATAGTAATAGACGTAACTATCTGCGAACGTTCCAAGACGAATTAAATATTTATATACAGTAGGATAAAGAATCGAAATATGAATTTCTTTCAAAATAACCTTTATTCGAAATGTGAGCAAGAAACTGATATACGAAACACTTCGCATGACGTATTAGTAAGAGAAAGCAATAATGTGAATCAGTAAATTCACACTTAAGTAATTTCATGTTTATTGGTTCGATTCTGCGCTAAGTAAAATAAAAATAAGAAGTGTTTTTGACTCTGGGATGAGAGTTGAACGTAGAAACTCTGAGCTGAGTAAAACGAAAACTTACAGCCTGGATGAGCAAATAATTCGAGCTAAGATTTTGTCTTGATTGTGACAAAATACAAGAAGGCTATCTACTTAAGGATGCCTTCATGAAGGACGTTCTAAGGGAAGCTGACTCGTATTCACATTACATATGGGGAAGATCATGAAAACAGCCTGTGCAGTCGACTTCGTCATCGGGATTTTAACCCTAAACAGTACTAACGATCTCACCGCTCAGTCGTGGTGCGCGAAGATGCCTCGGAAGAATAATTATTGAAACCCAAATTGTTGGCTACACAGCACAGAACACGAAACGCAGTGACCAGAATATAGTACGCTTTTCATTGCTTAAATATAGGTTTCAAAACTTTTTATTGTTATGTTTCGAAACTGACAATTAGTGACTTTAATTTCTTCTTTAAAAAAAAGGGGGGTAGCTTATGATTTTTATAGCTATTCGGCTCCCTTGCTATCCATTCACCTGAGGAAAGTGTCATTTCCCTGCTGTGTTACGCATGCCAGTGCTAAACATCACAGTATCTGTTTGATGATTTTGGATATAACCTATTCTAAATTCTTCAGAAAACTGCATTAATGACAATAAAATAATGATATAAAATTGAATTATTGTTGTAATAAATTCCAGTTTTAGAAGACTTTTAACTAAAGCTGATTTAGTAAATCAACTAATTTATTCTCGTAAAGGGGACCTGGTTAGACAATGGATTTGGGTTATTTAATTATGGCAAAGCACGCGAGAGCTATCTGCCTGAGGGGGCATACCTTCGGGGAGGACTTTCTAAGGAAAACTGGCTCGTATACATGTTACACTTTTTGAAACCACCCAGTCAGCCCGTTTGCCTAGAATCGAACCCAGGTAGGAACTATCACTGTTCAGCGACTTCACCGCTCAGCAACTGGTGGGCACTGGGTAAAATAAATATATAAATTGCCTTTCATTAAAAAAGCGATATTACATATTATGTAGGTTGTTTCATTTTTGAGCAATTAAAAGTGATTGAAACGCTTTCCTTAATTTTGTGGAAATTCGGGTGCAAACTAAGGGATAAAAGATAATACAATTATCTAAGGATTAATTGTTCAATAAATCATAATCTGCAATTAATTTTTTTTTTTGGCCATTACGGAACTAAAAGGAAGGAATTCAGTTCATTTCAATATTTCAGTTTAATTTTGCATAGTGTATTAACACTTTATGCTAACTAATTTCTTGACGTAAGTTGAAAAATTTCTTTTTCATCTTTTTTTGCGCAACACTGAATTATTCTAGATGCCGTTTTAGAAACATTAACTGCTGCAATTAGTAGCTTACTAAATAGACTAGTTAATAAAATTTTCGCCCATGATGTTTGTAAGTATTATGCAAAAGAAAAAGAAAAATGTTATCAGCATATCAACATTTGCGACGAAACTGGATAAGATAAGAAAAGGCTAACTAGGAAGAGCCGAGACCAACAGTGAAGCCTTGGAAATACCAAGGCATTGCATATTTTTTTTTCTCCCCGCTCTGAGAAGATGAAGAGCAGAGAACCAGACTTGGGTGCTTGAACCCATTCGCAGCTACCAGACAAGGTCACTTGGCTGCCTTTACCCACCGCACATGGCCGCAGCGGCGCGTGCGCTTTGGGGATATAGATTGACTGACTTTCTATGCACGTACGAAGTACAAAGGGATTCTCAGACGCCCGATGCCGATTTTCATCCCGGTTCTCTTTTAGTTATCCATCAACGTACTGGGAATTGCAGTCTAAACGCAAAAAGGCTTCTCCAACTTTGAAACACCAGTCTTCCAAATTAAATATAGGAGCGATGCATTATATTTATTTAGGTGTATAAAGGATAATTTTTTTAGCCTTCTCTGTTAATTTCTGAGAGTGTTTAGGCGGAGTCATGTTTAACAATTGCGTGTAAACGTTTTCTCAAATTTGCAGTTTTTCGGCTTCTACGGTATTACCTGGGGAATTTAATAATTCAAGGGATGCCAAGAAGGGTTTTTATGAATTCGGAAAATTTACAGGTCATGCTTACATGTTTAAAAATTAAATATTACAGCGGGAAAAGAATAACAGCGTCTAACATACTATATATTCGTTTCTGCAATTAAAATACTTTTATGAGGGGAACTATCCTTTTGAATTATTGTCCGAAAACAAATTTTTAGTTTTTAATCAATATTTCTTTGTGCCTTTGGGCAATAATTTCTTTTTAAATGGAAAGCATTCATAGTCTGATTTCGCCTAAAGATTTTTTCTATGAAGAGGCGATATTTTTGTTGTTCTTTTTGTTACCAATCTCATTTGTCTGACCAAGGTCAGCACAAGCCCACGACATTCGTCGTGGCAAAGAATCATGTGCGTCTGTCGTTGGCAAGTGCCTTGAACACCATATAAATGACAGCGCGTATGCCGCACAGGCACTGTACATTTAAACATCCATGCCTTCTCCGGTACGGCAGTCAGAGTCATTAACCGCTATCGCAGTTGGGCGGCGTATGTTTATTTTCTTAACGTATAAAACTCTATCCTTGCAAAATAAACTCCAGACACAGTATCAGGTTTCGAAAACTGACGGACGAGTAGAATGAAAAGAAAACAGAAGAGACCCATGGCAAGTATTCCACTGAACAAAACATAACTTTAATTTATCTTAATTACATTTCATTCGTAGCAAACTATCAGAGTGATGTTCGGCAAAACATAAGCTCGTTACTTCATCTTTCAAATTTGATCAGTTTCTTATTGATTAATAGACTGAACGATTCTAAAACAATACATTCCCATTGCACTAACAGAAAACTTTATCCTCTAGGCGAGGTCGAAAGTAAATAGTTCTCAGTACGCTATCGTTTGGCGAACGTAAACTGTTTAATTCATATTTCAAACTTAATCTGTATTACTTATTAACAAACTGGGTTATTTGATAGCAACAAACGCGTCTTTTAATAGTTTACGTCTTTATTTAACTTTTTTGATAATTTATATGATCATTAAAATACATTTAAATTATAATATATCTAAGTGATAATTCTGATGAACATTTGCAGCTTTGCTATACTTAATAACAGATATTTCTAACACCATATTATGGCTTTGAATCTTTATTTTGGTGTTTTATGTTTTTAATATTTTTAATTAAAAAAATAATGATACTTCTTCTTAGAGATGGTAGATTGTAATATGAAGTCTACAGATTACAATTTGTTTTCTCAGTTTCAGCAAGCCTAGGCTGAAATATTTTTAATAATATTCCCTTCTGTTTACCTACAGACTTCTCTGCAGCTGTAAAATCTGGCATCTTTTTCTTTACCTTCAGGGCAAACATGCATAAATATAGTTGTGTTGAAGTATCTCATATATAAACATCGGATTAAATTGTTAGATGAACACCTAGGGAATAAGAAAGGGCAGTAATAAGATATTTTAGAGTTTCTTTTATGAGTTACTTATGAAATACACTGCACGAAGGATTTCCAGTTATAAATAGGGATGTGAACTGGAATCGATTTTATAAACATCACAAAAACCTGCGATAATGAAAAGGAACGCAATATATCTAGAAATTAAGTAACTTCGATATTAATTAATTATATAAATCGAATAAATTATATTAATTATTATATATTAATTAATTATATTAATTCGAATATATATTTAACATCATAAAAGACTGGATGCACTTCTGTAAAGTAGGCTTCTTTAAAAAAGTCAAATTTCATAACTTCTAACAGTTGTATTCTTTAACATGCATTATAAAACAATTATTCGGGAAAAGTAGATATTCTACTTCCGTATAAGGGTGGCAAATCTTTAATTCCCGATAACAATAAAGCAGTAAAAATATACCTAAATCCCGTGATCCCAATAAAGAAACTCTAATTGTATCCTAATTTCTGAATTTACTCATATATTAGTTCAAGAAAACAATCTCTCAACAACGCATTTTCAAAATGCATTCTCAGTTAAGAACAAGAAATTCCCACATATTATAGGGCATTATCTAGCAATTTTTCAAAATATTTATAAAACTTATTATTTCTCTAAAAGTTTACAAACAACGTACTTGATTATATTTGTCAGAAAACATAAATTTATTTGAAAAACAAATCCAACGTTTTTGTAGAAATACATAATGCCCGGCATTTGAAACTTCATTTGTTAACTAAATTAATGTTGAAAATGTTTATAAAAATTATTACTTTGATATATTGTAAATCACATATATTTTAAATTGCATCCATTAGTTAAATAATTTAAAGGACTTAAATTAATTATGAGGTTGCGCTTTAAAGCACTCAGGGTTTTAAGAAGTTACAGATTATTAAATTCGAAAGATAAACTGAAAATCTTGTTTTATCGAATAGCAACAGTTAGAAAATACGATATGCATGAACTCACGTAATAAGATGTATTAAAGACAGAGCCATGCTTACATATTTTTTTTTACCTGAGGCAGCCTCTAAAAAGAAGGCAAAATTATTCATTTACATATTTGTGTGAGTGGGGAAAGAAGAAATAAATAATACTAAATGATGTTTGAAAACCTAACATTATACAAACAAGCGCAATATATATATGCTATATTTTATGCTTATTAAAATTAACTATTTTAAGTGAAAATACAATAACTTTTACAGTAATATTTAATTATAACTTTGCACATTCCGCAAAGTGAAACCAATATAATAATTAACAATTTGAAATGAAAAACATTAAAAATATGCTTTTTGAAAAATGGCAAATAATATTAAGTAGTGTAAATAAAACATATTCAAAAATTATGATATAAACTTTTCAAGCATATTTATAATTTAATTTTTCTTGCTTTTAAAGAAGCAAAATCATCAATATTTTTTTCTTGCAGTATTCAATTCCACGCAGATAACAAACATAAAATTTTTTAATTTTTTTGCATCAAACTGCTGCTATTTTCAGCCCATTGCAAAGATTTGTGATTTAATGCCATATCTTTCAATAGTCTATATACTTCTGTTATTTGTAGATCTAAATTTTTTAACAGCATTTGCTCTTGATGACCATCGTGTATCCGTATGACCTTTTGGTGTTGTTTTCAAAACGGACATAAGTGCATCCCTTCTACTCGTTGAAAACACACACACACACACACACATATATATATATATATATATATATATATATATATAAAGCCTCTGTGCAGTGCCAAAAAAAATTAACATACTTGAATTTGTTGCAGCGGCAGTTTTTCATACTAAATTTAAAGTATGAGCCGAACAAGAAATATATATGTAGCTTGGTCATTTCTTTGGCAAATAATGGCTTGCACGCTTTTGTACAATCCAGCCATATTGGCCCCGTTATCATAACCGACCATTTTGAATGTCGAGGCCATCCTTTTCTAACTTATAAATAATTTCATTTGCTAAACCACTACCAATTTCCTCTTTTGTTTCTATAAATTCTATAAAGCTTTCGTCAATAAATATGGATCCGTCTTTTATGTACACATAACTAATAATCTGACACAGTTGCTCATGATGCGAAACAACAAGTGTATAATCAAATATCAAAGAAAAATACTTCGCCTTTTTGATGCTAGAACGAATTTCAAATCGAACATGATTACCTAAGAGTAATATAAATTCATCTTCTACTTTATTAGACAGATAAGAAACGGATCCCCTTCTGTAATTAGCTGTATGATAGGCAATATTTCTATCATAATGACTTATTAATTCAATTAAATTTAGAAACATTCCTGCACTTGAACTGCCAATAATTCATGCGTACTCTAAGAGCTAAACTGTGTTTTGCACAAAACAAAATGATGTCTAATGTAACGTGTAAGATATGTCGCCACTTTTCTTTTTCTGATTCTACTGCTTTACGCAGGGAATCATCTATGAAACCACCTCGTTAATTTTTTTTTTTCAAAGCATTTCCAACGAAGATAAGCATCACGATGAAACATAGAATTTTCGTGATCGTAAATTCGGTTTAAGTGTTTCCAATCTTTGAAACCTCTTTTTGGATTGGAAATAATAGAATCTGTCTTACTTTTAGTAAAAAGAATGCAGGGAAAACAGAATAACGGCAGAGATCTTTTAGAATAAATAAGCTAGTTGCAATGTATTACCTCCCCATTAGAGCACTTTTTAAAACACCATTCTCTAGAAAATCATCTGCCATCCTCTGAATTAGATTCCCTGAAATCAGCATCTTATCCTTGATCTGGTCCATGTTCTATTAAGAAAAATTTTATATTTTGTCTGAAATTGTTGACCATGATGGAGGGTCATTGAAGTTAATCAGTTTCTCCTCGTTTCCAGAAATTTCAATTACTTGTTTGCTTTTATTTGAACCAAACTTGCTATATTCTCCAACTTCACCCACATTTTCTTCTGAGCTATCTGTTATTACTTTTTTTTTTATGAATTACTTATTTCATTTGAATTTTCGCATTTCGCCAGCCAGCCTTGTAACTGTAAAGCGCAGCTTTGATGAAATTAAGTTCTTAATTTTTTCCCTTCTTTTCTATTCAGCACCACTGGACGTTTTCGATGCCATCTGTGAAAAATACAGATTTTTAAATTATTTTGATTAAATTTGCTTTTTATCATAAAAAAGTTAATAAAAATTTATTGTTGAATGAAATTTACATAATGTTAAAACTGAAAAAAAAATATAAAACAAAAAGTATTAAGAAAATATTTATTTAAAAAAAGATTATCGCGTCATAAACTTCTTTCGACGTAGCACTTGATATTTCTGTTTGAATATGAATAAGATTCTCTTTTGAAACACATTTATAAACTGTTTATTTAGTTAATTATAGCGTTCCGTTTTCCTTCCTCGCAGATTTTGGATCTTTTCCGTTATAAGAGAAGATGCGGCAAACAATTTTCTCCAGAAAGTTATATTTGCCAACTTGATATTTTCAATAAGAAAAACATACTTTCATAATACTAATCGTCTTTAGGGTTAATAATCTCAGAAAACGGAGAAGAACGGATTGCCATACTTTAAAATGTTATTCATATATTTACTTTGAAAACAACAATATAATCATAAGAGATAAGAATTTAACTGTGCTTACTAGGCAACGCTAGCTCTGTAGAAAATTTTGAAGTTCGGGTTATTATAAAACGAAAAATATCACATACTTCAACACGAACTATGGTTTTGTTATATAAAGTCTGCAATGTTATTTTACCACAGTTGTGTTATTAATGCATCAAAATCTATTACAATTCTTAATTTAAATTACTAATCCTGTGTACATTGCAATATTAATGAAACCTGAGTATGGTTATTATATTGAAACTATTTCGCATTTCTAAAATTATACGAACATGTTTCCGTCATTGGTTGAAATTCTTTTATGTGCAATGAATTTTACAGTTCTTTCATTTTCTTTTTCTTTTCCTTTTTTTTTTTAACCTTTAACGCAGTTCCAGAAATAATCCTCTTCGATATGTTAAGTAAAATTGCTACTTTCATTTTAAGCACTTAAAGAGAGATTTTTGATCTCGGAAATTCTTCTTAACAACTAACTAAGTAATAATTTCTGCATCTCTGGTCTTTCCATTAAAGTTCACATTCAGAAGTGGCCTAGGGGTAACAAGGCAACTTGTTCAGTTTTATTTCAGTGATCGGATTGACTGCATTTAGTCTTCTGTACCTTGAATATCAAACAGTTCTATCAGAACATCCTCAACGAAAGCATCGCTTCTAAAGCATATAGTGTCGCGAGCTTTATTATAATAGATTAATCAATGAAATCAGTCTTTAATATTCACAGATTCTTTCATCACTTTAATTATCCACCCCCGACGGAAAGTTTATTTAAGCTTGAGCAGAAATTTATATGCCATCTAATTTAAACATGCCAATAGTTTGGCTGTCAGAAACTTTTTTCCCTAACAATTTCATGATATCTTGACAATGAAAGCATAATTTTAAAATTAACAAGATTTAAAAGATACTTCATATTTTATCTTTACTTTTATTGCGCATCATCAATTAACTCAAGAAACTTCTATGTGTTAAATTTCGCTACTATGACAGGTGTTTATCATTAATTTTTATTCACAGCAACGAATATTTCTTAAATTTGTTTTAGCAAGAAGCATATCTTTAAAATATATTTTTATAATGATCCCGTTAGAGTCAACGGAACAAAACTAAATTTTTTAAAAGATATTTATTACGTCAAAATGAATTAATTACATTAGAATTAGCCAGAACAGTTTGTCTTGTCCACAAAGTACTCAAAATTTTAAACTTCCTTTGTTAGTTCTCTAAAAATGAAAAATTTATTTTATTGTTTCAATATAAACAATAGAATTATTAAAAGACATTTCTCTTACCTTATATCTTTACATCCCAGTTGATAAAGAATGAACCAATTTGTTTAATCTTTCAGCATCTGCTTCAGAAATAACTTCCAGACAAACAATCCAGACAGTTCCCGCGGAACATGAATGTGAGTACAAGACAAAAATTTCAATTCATGCGCCTCGTTTATTAGAAAATATTATCCCCCCTTCAAAAAAAAAAGAGAGAGAGAGGAAAGGAAAAATAAAACGAATAACTAATAATATGATACATTTCATTTTCAATCAGCCTTGTGTATTGTTACGAATTTGGTATTTAAAAAGCTAATGTTAGTTCAATTATAAATTAAATGGTTTTATTTCTCGCGCAGTGCAGCGCGTGACGAATATTAAAAGAAAGCTAAGCCGGAAAATTGAAAATACAAGAGCGCGTGCATTAAATAAATAAATATCTCTTTTTTGATTTCGAGAAAGTACTGTAAAATTCTAGCGCGTGATTTTAAAATCTTATAAAAGGAGGAAAACATCTCAATTTGTAGTAGAGTAGAGTTGATACGAATGTTGTTTGAGTTCGTATTATTATTTTGCTCTACGAGTGTGATTCTAAAATTTAGGAAGTGAAGGAAATTTATTTATAAATAGTAAGTGTTTTTCGTTGGTCTCTTTCGAGAGGTGTACTTGGAGTAGCTCATCTGGACAAGTTCGTGAGTATATTTTTGATTTCTACGCTTTCATTATGGACATTGTCTTGTACATCGATAGGATAGCTTGACTTGGTAAATATGGATGAGATAAATGATTTAGCAATCCTTAATAAGCGCGATATTGTTGAGAATATTCTTAAACATGGCACGATTGAGGATTGTAGGCAGATTATGTCTGAGTTTAACTTAGCGTTTAACACGCTTAGAAATGGCTTACGGAAAATCACCCCAGAAATGGAGCAATGGCTCCAAAAAACCTATGCAGAGCTTGAGAAGTGTGTAGCGATTAAACAAGCTGCAGGAGATTCAGTGCAAAATATCTGCGGTAGCATCCCGTTAGTTAATACTAGCAATGATTCGACATCTAATCAAACTACAAAGCAACCCAAACCAGTTTCAAATGTTATTCAGGAAATAAGCAAAATAAATAATTATAATGAAAAATGGATTACACCCAAAAAATACCACAAACGCACACTTAGTGAAAGCAGCAACGGTTCAATGACGTCAACCAAAAATAAATACGCTTCACTAAAAATAGATGATAAAATGGACACTACAAATGTTAGTTCGCTAAACTCACAAGAAGACAGTACTAATAATGAAGGTGATTTCATTACGCCCAACAAAAAGGCTAACAGAATTCCGCCGATTATCATTTCAGATGTCACGGACTGGAAAGCCCTCAGAGATAATATTAAGCAATTTACCATATCCATGGAATGTGTACAGAAAGGTGGTGATATCCACATTAAAGTTAAATCGGACACTGAGTATCGTGAAGTCACGAGATACCTAGACGAAAAGGAAATTCCTTACCATACCTTTCCTCTCCCTCAGGATAAACCGATAAGAGTTGTAATCAAAAAATTATCTGTTCACACCAAACCCGAGGACATTATGGAAGAACTAATAGACAATAACATCCCGGTTAAAACAGTAAGACAAGTTACCAAGAAAATAGACAATGAAATTGTCAAACTACCCACTTTCATGGTTGAAGTCAAACGCAGCATAGAAGGCAAGAAAATATACAACATAACGCATATTCTAGATTTGGCTGTTAAAATTACTCCCTTCAGACCCACTCCAGGACACAAACAGTGTCACCACTGTCAGAGGTATGGCCACAGTCGTGCTCACTGTAAGCACAAGCCCAGGTGTTTAAAATGCGGGCAAAACCATATTACTACTACATGTACAAAAGACAGAAACTTACCCGGCAAATGTTGCCTCTGCGGAGGCCCCCACATTAGTTCGTACCGTGGTTGCGAAATGCATCCGGATAACTTGAAAAGAAAAATTGCAGAAAAAGAATTCCAAAAAGAAGCGAGAAAAACTTCAAAAAATAGTCCCCCTGATATCAACTTAGAAAATTTCCCACCTCTTCCAAGAAGAAACATAACCTCAAAATAGCAGTGAAAATGTTAATGAGCAGAATGCTTCATCCACCAATCAGGACGCAGCTGTCGAAAGTGAGAACTTAGGCTCCGTTTCCGATTTCATAATTTGGCTGAAGAAATTATTCCTGCAAGGAAAAAATCTCTTCGAGCGGTTCTTAAAATCTAAATCAATATTGGAAAAAATCCAAGTCGGCTGGGAAGCCTTTGAACTTTTATCAAGCATCAATTATGAATTTTAACCACATTAACAGTAATTCAAGAACTCACCTCACTGCCCCCAGCAGTTTAAATCTTGCATTTTTTAACGCCAACGGTATTCGCCACAAGAACGTTGAAGTTGCAAACTTCCTTAACTCACCATAATATTGATGTGTTTCTAGTGAATGAAACTTGGCTCAGACCTAATGATAAGTTCAAGATCAATGGTTACAACGCATTCAGGACGGACAGAGACCATAACAGGGGCGGCGGTACTATGATATTAATTAAAAGGCATCTGCACGCCAACGAGTTTAATATTCCCAATAGCAGCAGCATTGAAACCACTGCGATCGTTGTGCATTCGCGCACAAATGAGCCGATTGTCATCATCTCGGCTTATAATCCCCCCAGAAACATTCTCACCAACAATGACTTGCAAATTTTTAACAATATCACTCACCCTGTTATTATAGCAGGGGACCTGAATTCTAAACATCATAGCTGGAATTCTCAAAGAAATAACACAAATGGCAACAAACTTTATAGCTATGCTCTTACGAATGACCTTAGAATTTTTGGACCAACGGAACCTACCAGGTATCATCATACAGGCAGCTCGGATGTTCTCGACATTGTTATTACAAAAAATATCCAGCAAATCCCTTTCCTACAGGTGATTAATCAATTAACCTCTGACCATCTCCCTGTTAAATTTACTTACCATGGCTTTGAGAAGACCTTGCCTTTAAAGAAAATTATAAACTGGCAGAAATTCAATAATTCTCTAGAACAATTACCTGCACACCCGGCTCTTGCCGATATTGTAGACATTGAGTACAATATCACTAAGATCAATAGTAAAATTAAGAAAGCCCTTGATGATTCCACCAAATTCAAAGATTATAAGAAAGATAAGCTCCCCGACCACATCATTGAGAAAATAAAAGACAAAAACCGCACAGCAAAAATCTGGCGAAGAACAGGCGATCCCACTGTTAAAAGAAATCTGAACAGAAAAATTAGGAACATCAAGACCCTCCTCCTAGAGTACAGATCAAATTGTTGGGACGATTTCTTAGACTCCATGGATTTCTCTCCGAATACAGTCTGGCGTATTGGAAATTCCTTAAGGAATACTAATAACAGAAATATTGGTCCTCTCCACACCAGTAGTGGAATTGCTTATTCTGAACATGACATGGCTGAAGCCCTTGCGCAGCATCTAGAAAAGACTTTCACCAATCATGCCTCTAATAATGATGAGACAGATGAAGAAGTCGATAATTTCATTAACCACCTAGCTGACAGAAATTGTAATAATCACTTCAACCCAACTTCTCCAGCAGAAATAAGTAATATAATTAGCAACTTAAAGTCCAGGAAAGCTCCCGGCTACGATAGCATCACCAATACGGTTCTCAAAGCTCTCCCAAGAACCTACATAGTCCTCATTACAAACATAGTCAATGCTTGTATGAGGCTCAATTACTTTCCGCAACAGTGGAAGCACGCGCAGATAATTACGTTTGTCAAGCCGGGGAAAAACCCAAAGGACTTAAACTCCTACCGTCCGATCAGCCTTCTCCCCAGTTTGGGAAAGGTATTTGAGCGTGTGCTCCAAAAGAGATTAACTCAACATCTAGAGGATAAGGAAAATTATATGTAAAGAGCAGTTTGGTTTTAGAGCCGGTCATAGTACCGTGCACCAACTACTGAACGTTACAGAATTTATTGCAGACTCCTTCGCAAAAAAGAACACAATCGCCAGCTGCTTTCTAGACCTAGAAAAAGCATTTGACAAGGTGTGGCATGAGGGTCTCCTCTACAAGCTGCACCTTGTTCATCTGCCCATCAGTTTTATTAAGCTCATGAAAAGCTATCTTAAAAACAGGACCTTTCAGGTAAAAATTAATGACTCTCTCTCTTCAAGAAAAAGAATTAAAAGCGGAGTGGCTCAAGGAAGCGTTCTGGGACCGCTTCTGTTTAATATCTACACGAATGATATGCCGGTTCCTTTGAATGCAAAAGTAGTGAAATATGCCGACGACACAGCAATTTTAACCAAGTCGCTAAAACCTCAGCTCGCTGTAGATAAACTTGAAAGCGCAGTAAATATCATAGCACACTATTATGATTCATGGAAATTAAAAAAGTAAATCCGTCAAAGAGCCAAATTCTCCTTTTCAGACGTCATCGGAAGTTCACTCCTGTAAATGTAAATATAAAAATTAATGATCAAGCCCTAGCAATTGTTTCAAGTACCAAGTATCTAGGAGTGGTCTTCGACTCACAGCTGTTATTCAAAGAACACACGGAGTATGCCTTGCGCAAAGCCACCGCTGCTAAAATGTCTCTTTACCCTTTAATAAGAAGAAATGCTAAATTAAATATCAGTCTCAAGAAGAAGATCTATACCAGCTTAATAAGACCCACCCTACTTTATGCAGTGCCTATCTGGGCCACTGTGTACAAGACTTATACACAAACTACAGGTCTTTTTTTTTTCTTGAGACTCAATCCCGTGCCCACTATGTACCACGCTTAGAGTAGTAATAGAATTAAGGTACATGATAAAAATTAAAATAATAAAGCGACAAAGCAAGAACTCGTTGGCTTCACGAAACAAAGTCATGCAGCATCGACTTTCAATCGTCTGTACATAATCTAGGGCCATCAAATGTAGGGCACGAGAAAATCAAAATGTTCCATATCCTGAGGAACTCTTTTTGAACATTCACATAAATTGTTTTGATCGTAGATTAAAACGAACAGATAACTTGCAAATTTACCGTGACCAGATAAAAACTGAGACACTTTAAAATTTAACGAGAGGAAAGACTCGGAGTTCAGTCTATGGTAAATAGAAGGAAGGAACTTTTTGGTGACTTCCGCATTACAAGATGAAATGTATTCCTCATTCCACATAGCTAAA